AACAATGTAACTTCAAACTCCTATAAACCAAATCAATAATAACACACTGTAAAAATGTAAAATTTTGAGATGTAAATGCTGAAAAAAGCTATGGTACATCAAAACCATGTCCAGTGTGTCTAAAATATTATTTGACTCCAGAACTTAAAACTCATATCATAATAACTGTGAAATCATGACAAAGTTGATGTTTATTTCAATGATCAATCTTATAAATAATCCTTCCCCTTACTGTGTAATAATGATATTATTTTCACAATATCCTCGAAGTGTTTATCACATATAAGAATGTATAAGGTGATACATTGTAGCATACAATGTACAATAACAGTGTAACACATTGTAAATTCAATGTAGCACATGACAGCATACGATGTTATACATTATAACATAAAATGATGTAAAACTCTGTAACATGCACTCGATGTCACACGATGACCATGTAATACAATTTACATAATTTTACAATGTAACACACCACCATAATATACAAATAAACATACAATGTAGCACAAAACATACAATGGAACACATTATACAATGGAACACATTATACAATGTAGCACATAACATACAATGGAACACATTATACAATGGAACACATTATACAATGTAGCACATAACATACAATGGAACACATTATACAATGTAGCACATTACATACAATGTAACACATAACATACAATGTAGCACATAACATACAATGTAGCACATAACATACAATGTACCACATAACATACAATGTAACACATTATACATTGTAGCACATAACATACAATGTAACACATTATACATTGTAGCACATAACATACAATTTAACACATTATACATTGTAGCACATAACATACAATGTAACACATTATACATTGTAGCACATAACATACAATGTAACACATTATACAATGTAGCAAATAACATACAATGTAACACATAACATACAATGTAACAATACAGCATAAAATGTAATACAATTTAACATAAATTGTAACAATCATGTATTATAACATACAATGTATCACAAATACAATACAATGTACTAATAAAGTAATAGGATTTAATATTTGTTATATAAAACAACAATCATTTTTATAATTATTGTCACTTAAAACAACAATTTTTGAGGCTAGCTGGTTATTTTTGCGACTCTTTTAATTTTCAAGGTGTTTTTTTTCAAAACAAGGGAATAAAATCTGAACAGATGTCAAATTCAGTATCTGGAGATATCCCAGTACTTATCTTTTGCAAATACTCTGTGTATCCTGATGTCAACATTTGGGGAGAAAATCTAGTTACATTATTACATGGATCAAATTTTGCAATCATGTATATGCCGCATGACTTTTGAGAAAATATACTGTAATTCCCACAAAAATAACCTACTATACAACATGGTATAAAATATAGAGAGTAGAGCCAGCCATATCTTACTAATCACAGATAACAATGATGTATTGTTAGAACCAGTCACAATACAACTGGTTCTACCTTTTATATACAGTTCTGGATTTCTCTATACATTACGTCCCCGATACATGAGAACATCTATACGTCTTTAGAATCAGACTCCATCACATAGAGGGTGCCTTGCTCCATTTGACACTGAGGTACAATCTGACCTCATCACATTATAACTGTCATTCCTCCTATGCTATTCATTTCCACACAAAATTACACTAATATTTAATATGAAAGACACTTCTGTTAATCTTTATTTCTGTTGCATTTATTGTTTTCAGAAATTATATAATGTATTATATATATTGAGCACCATTATGTAATACCGGTATGTCTACATATTTACCATGAAGTGTTTGAGCACACTTCAAGGAACAAGTACAGACCACAGTACCCAGTATTAAGATCTTCATGGCAACTTCAAAAGGAACTTATATAATTCACAGCCATGCTGGGAATAAATATCTACTGATAGATGTGTAAATTGTAGCTTAATTTTAATTACTGTTGTTTAACTTCGCCGTTGGCTTAACTACAACTACATTAATGAAAATTTGTGGGGGTTTAAATTTTGTATAACATTGCCAGGTAAAAATAATGAGCTCACCAGGAAACTTTTGTATTTGGGTGATAAAAAATATATATTATTTTTGTTCTTTTTTAGTATGTATATAAATTTATGTTTACAGAGATTATAGTCCATGGTATTTATATTTGCTGAGTATTTATATTTGCTGAGTATTTAATTTTGCGCTATCTTTGTTGACCGTGAATATAGTGAAAATAAATACCCCACAAATATTACAAACTATACAGTAGTTGCTCAAACATTTGACATGTACAAATATTATCTACCAGTAGATCATTATTGAATAACTTCTTTTTAACATTATTTCATGGCTTTTTTTCCAGAATAAACTTGCCTGTGTTCTAAGGTTGGTAAATCGTTTTTGTTTTGTTACACAACTAAACCATGACTAATACGGTGTTTGTATAAAACAGTGTAGGTTCTGTAGCAGATACATTGAGGGAAAAACCTGACACGGAAGTGAAACCTTAAACAGTAATATTTCAAACTCTTGTAAATCACAGAAAACATATATTAGATCTATATAATTATGGCAGCTTGAGAAATCCTTTTCAAGCAAAACAAAAAAATAAAATGAAAATACAACAATACATAATTTTGTAGTAAAAAATAAAATGGCTACCATATATATGGCATACTCAAACTCCAAGATAAATGTCTTAGCTTAACATTGAACCCATAGAACATACTGTCTTTGTTGGGTTTTTTTTAAATGGAATTTTCCAATTTTATAGATTTGAGACATTTTAATGTACCTGGGACTACTGTCCTAATGTATTGCCATAACAATATTCCCAGTAATTTGTGCCGTCAAAATATTATCAAATACCGTCTACAAAAATAGCCTATAACAGTGATGGGACTGTTTTGAAATTCAATAAAAATTCACTTGAATTTAAATACAATGTAAGATAAATGCCATATTTTGTTAATTGACTAGATGATTTTTTTTTTTAATTTGCTGAAGTTTGAACACAATAAAAGATCATATCAAAACTATATAAATCCCACCATGACTGTGAGATGTAGGATGGCTGTGTCTGGGATCATTAGATATGAAATGGGAATGAAGAGATAATAGGTGCTATTGAAATTTTTTAATCTGGAACCTTTAAAAACAAGAGGCCCAAGGGCCTTGTAGCAGTCACCTGAGTCACAGTATCGGTACCAGTAGCTCAATTTCATTGTAGAGATGTACCAAATGTGTATAAGTAACAACATGTAAACTAAGTAAAACACAATATATGTCATGTCACCAAAGAATAAGAAGTTACGTGATGGCCATGTCAGTACATAGGGGTGGTTATATCTCTGTAACTGGTGTACGGGAGGTGATGGCCATGTCAGTATATAGGGGTGGTTATATCTCTGTAACTGGTGTACGGGAGGTGATGGCCATGTCAGTATATAGGGGTGGTTATATCTCTGTAACTGGTGTACGGGAGGTGATGGCCATGTCAGTATATAGGGGTGGTTATATCTCTGTAACTGGTGTACGGGAGGTGATGGCCATGTCAGTATATAGGGGTGGTTATATCTCTGTAACTGGTGTACGGGAGGTGATGGCCATGTCAGTATATAGGGGTGGTTATATCTCTGTAACTGGTGTACGGGAGGTGATGGCCATGTCAGTATATAGGGGTGGTTATATCTCTGTAACTGGTGTACGGGAGGTGATGGCCATGTCAGTATATAGGGGTGGTTATATCTCTGTAACTGGTGTACGGGAGGTGATGGCCATGTCAGTATATAGGGGTGGTTATATCTCTGTAACTGGTGTACGGGAGGTGATGGCCATGTCAGTATATAGGGGTGGTTATATCTCTGTAACTGGTGTACGGGAGGTGATGGCCATGTCAGTATATAGGGGTGGTTATATCTCTGTAACTGGTGTACGGGAGGTGATGTTTATCGGTTAACCTTAAGACACATTGAAAACTTAACTTTCAAGTCTGAAGAAATGTAAATGAAATGGTTATTTGAGTCTATATTTGTAAATATTGATGTACAGCATCTCAATGACAGCTACAGGTAAAAAAAAATAAGGACTCTGCCAAATAATATGAAGTAATTGGGGAGGGGGAGCAAGGAGGCACTTACTTTTTTTTAATTATTTTTTTAGGAGGAGGGGGGGGTGCATATACCATAAGTGATGGTTTATACCCAATAGGGTACACACTTACTGTTCACAGTTGTCCATATTTGTATAGAAGGCCTAAGGAAAACACTGTGAGTTATTGAGAATCACAAATAAGTACCCCCAACCAATGACAATAAGTTAGAACAGAACAGTAAGTGAAAACAATTTCATTTCAACAAAACATTTCAGGTATCAATTCATTTTACAATTAAAATTTATATTAGTTCAATTATTATAACATATTGCACTTTGTAATGACAGTCGGACAGTGGATTTCTGCCAACAACAAAACAATCTATACTATATTATATTTTATGTTCATCTAAAATGTGTAGCAAATGTTTTGATATTATACCATCCCACCAATATCAATGTATACCTAAATCTATATCTAGCTACCGTATACACCAGAGAAGACAAAAAAATATAATAACATGGAAATTATAATTCACTGGAATCCCCTTAAGGTAAACATATATGTCGGCTAAAATTAAGACTCGAGGAAAGATATTTACATCTCAGGGAAATATGAACAAACTCAAATTCTTTCATTTCTACTTATTTTGTTGTATAAATGAAAATTTATTAAATAACAGGCAAAGCCTATGTAATTCTATTCTCCAGAAATTAGTTTGATTAATGTCAATTACTTATTATGCCAAATGAGGGTAAAATGAACATCTTATGCGAATAAGTATTCCGTCTTTGCGTATTGCAGAGTTATCTTCTCTTGTGAGCAGGTATTGATTGTTACGTCATTGGTTTGTGTGAGAAAATTACGTCGTTTTCTCAAACATTGATGATGTTATTCTCACAAACAAATGACTTAACAATCAATACCCGCTCACAAGAGCAGATAACTCTGCAATACGAAAAGACGGAATAGGGTCCTGTGAACATCTTACATTCCAAAATGAAGTAAAATTAAAGTACTTCTCTCAAACCTATGTCTCCTTTAATATGACTGGGAGTTTCTTGATATCGTATCAATGGTGCTTACGGTTTCAATCGTAAAATGATAAATTAAACGCTGGTATGTCACTCACTTAAAATAACAATGCCATTCAAGACATTTTATAGGTTAAAACATATAACCTTAAAATAACGTCATATTCACCTAATAAATTATATTATGCAACTGGTATAGATGAAAGCACTTGTTTACAGTAATTGATAGCATTGTCACAGAACCTGTGTTTGTCGGGACAAGTCATAGTTTTCTTCTGTCTTCCATTTCTGTTCGACATCAGTTAGAAATCCTGGTAGCGAAGTACTGCCTTCCTGATCTCTAGGCATTTAGGTAACTTTAAAATCTAAAGATGTTCTTTAAACCACAGGAATCGAAGAAAGTGATGTTATGTATGGATCTGAGTAGGCACAAACCTTCTGTATTTAGTAACACCTGCTACCTATATTCTGTACACAGATCAGTCCAATATGGGGAATCACATCTGGACAATCTGTGTTCACCTACTGTTACATGGACAGCATTACATATTGCACCATGCATGAGATACAGTATGCCGGTAAATATGCGTGTTACCTCTGGTGACACCTTTGGTCCTCTGGTTGGATATGTTTATAGATGGTGAGGACCTATGGCAAGGTCACTGTATCTATAACACTATAGTTTTAACCTCTGGATGACCTTTGTAAAATGACAGATAATTTCTGGTGGATTAAATCAGGTGTGCAGATGACCGACGGATACTGCGTCCACTAAAACACAAGTTGAGGAAGAAGGAAAGGACCTCGGCCTGAGAAAACACATCCTGGGCTCCCTGCATCATGATCTGGGCGGGACTAAGTTTGGAATCTTTGACCGCAGGCTGTAGGAGGGTGGGGCCAAACACTGTCGCTAGGTTACTGATGGACATCTTGTTCTCAGACTCACACTGGACCACTCTGTAACATAACATATGACTGTGTAATGTAACACTCGGCACTGTAATTGACTAGGATTTTCATGCCTCATTAAGTAATGTGGGCCGTGTCATTCCTCAGTAAGTAACACAGATTGTTTGACACCTCGGTAGGTTACTACCCTGGTAGCTAGGTAATGTCAGATGCTTCATACTGCATTTGGTAGCATGGCACCTTGATTTAATAAGTGGTATTCCAGTACATGTATAGGTTATTTTGTACACCTCAATTACATTGGCTATAAAAGTGGTGTCAACCACAAATAGGAGAAAATGACACTTACTCCCTACCATGTATATTGGTTTCCTGGATCAGTGTTACATAGTTATAGTTGTTGAATTTATGGAATTCAAATCTCATGCATCATATTCGAGTGAAATTATATTCCTGTAGGACTTACACTGTTATATTATTATCTGGAAATAAAAGTCTCACATCTGTGATGACATCATTAAACACGAGTGGTTTTTAAGGGCAGTTTATCATTTAGTTTCTGCAAAGACAGAGAAACCACTTACTTCACCAGATGTTCTACGACACTGACAATGGTGTAGTAGTTCTCGTCAGGGAGATCATGTAACAGCTGTAACATACACTTCTCCTTGGACGGCAGATCCTTTAATCCTGGAAACAGACATTCAAATAATGTCATTAGCTAAAATATCTTGTGTTACACGGTCATCATAGGATCAAGGTCATTAATTACAAGGTCATTATAGGATCAAGGTCTTTGATTACAAGGTCATTAGAGCATCAAAGTCATTAATTACAAGGTCATTAGAGGATCAAGGTCATTAATTACAAGGTCATTATAGGATCAAGGTCATTAATTACAAGGTCATTATAGGATTAAGGTCATTAATTACAAGGTCATTATAGGATCAAGGTCATTAATTACAAGGTCATTAGAGGATCAAGGTCATTAATTACAAGGTCATCAGTTCCAAGGTTTTCCAAGGTCATCAACTATAAGCTCATCAATTACAAGGTCACAAATTTAAATGTTATCATTTACAAGGTCATCAAGTTCAAGGTCACCATTTCTAAAGTCATCATTTACAAGGTCAACTAATCAACGTGGGTAACAATTGGGGTATTTTATCACTAGTTAAAACACTAGTCCCAATCATTATATGTCCTTAAACCTTGTAGTAAAGGAGGTTGTAATCGAGACATCCTGACTTTATGTCATTTTGCTATGACTGAATATGGAGACTTGTGTACTGAATAGAACTTCCATACCTAATTAGACAACTATGAGACATGGGAGCTAGTGATGACTGGTATTATGTCAATCTATTATTATGTCAATCTATTATTATGTCAATCTATGTCAATCTATTATTATGTCAATCTATTATTATGTCAATCTGTTATTGTGTTAATCTTTTATTATGTTAATCAATTATTATGTGAATCTATTATTATGTGAATCTATTTTTATGTCAATCTGTTATTATGTCAATCTATTATAATGTTTATCTATTATTATGTCAATCTATTATAATGTCAATCATTATGACAATCTATTATTATGTCAATCTATTATTATGTCAATTATTTTGTCAATCTATTATTATGTCAATCTATTATTATGTCAATTATTATGTCAATCAATTATTATGTCAATCTATTATTATGTCAATCTATTATTATGTTAATCTATTATTATGTCAATCTATTATTATTTTAATCTATTATTATGTCAATCTATTATTATGTCAATCTATTATTATTTATTATGTTAATGTAAATTTCCTTTCATGTCTTTTGAAAATTTCAAATCCATAATGAATTTATTGAAAATCTCCATCTAGATATGCAAAATGCAGAATGATTTTGAATTTTTATCAGCACTGTCAACCTATGGGGAATCTCTATGTACACCATTGACCTACCAGCGGTGCTAATGAAGGCTTTGTAGTTAGCCTCAGTGAAGAGTGGCTCGGGCAGCTCACGGAAAAACAGCTTGAGTACACCCGTTACAGCGTTGATATCACAGCTGTTGACCAAATTTATTCCAGCACGCATATCTGTAAACCATTTATATACATTGAATACTATTACATACATTGAATACATACACTTAACACTAGAAGCGATGATGATATGCTCGCCTTGAGGGTGTGACAGAGAAATCTACAACCTGCCAAGGGTGATTTTTTGGGTTGTCTAACCACTGGCTCTTTAGTGGGGCATTATTGCATTTAAAGTGTACATGTAAATTAGACCAACAATTTTTAGTTAGAAGTCTACTACTTACTTTTATCAAAAGTTTTTTTCAGCCTCTGTATTTCTGACGTTACTCCAGACACTCGGTAGATTCCGAGCTCATCCAGACCTGTAAATCAAACAAGTGTGATAAATGTGTTCATAAACAAATCCTTAACATGAGTATTCTATACAAGAAAGTTGACCACCCTGAACGCTTTTCTTGGGTTTTTTCATACATGTACGAAACATACAAGTTCCATTTGATCAAATATTTTGAAAGGATATACACTGAATATGAGCAACACTATTTGAATTCATTGAACAGAACACAACACTACCTCCTTCAGGCTACGCTACTTACCTCTAGATTCTACAACACTACCTCCTTCAGGCTACGCTACTTACCTCTAGATTCTACAACACTACCTCCTTCAGGCTACGCTACTTACCTCTAGATTCTACAACACTACCTCCTTCAGGCTACGCTACTTACCTCTAGATTCTACAACACTACCTCCTTCAGGCTACGCTACTTACCTCTAGATTCTACAACACTACCTCCTTCAGGCTACGCTACTTACCTCTAGATTCTACAACACTACCTCCTTCAGGCTACGCTACTTACCTCTGGCTTCTATCTCTTTCAAACATGTCGTCACAATGGTGGGAATGGTCTTGTGCTCTCGACTGTAACCCAACGGTCAGGAAATTACAAGAATTTCATTTTGTTTAGAACTTCCATTTTTCTACGATAAGTTTTCATTTTTCCTATGCTACATACAGTTCTGAGCCACTGATAGATAAACAACCTGTTTATAATCTGTAACATTTAGAAATCTTGGGATATTTATGTTTTAAATGAATTAAAAGTGTAGCTTTCAGTGTACTAGCCAGTCTTATTTTATGATCTACAACAAAATAATTAGGTGTATCAATATATAAGTCTTATAAGTTCCAATAGCTTCGTGTGATAATTGTATTTAAGAGCATCGCTTTAGGTGTATTGTCTGATGTTACGAGTCACATGCTGGTCATAGTTGTACTAAATGTTGATGCTTTAGGTGTATTGTCTGATGTTACAAGTCACATGCTGGTCATAGTTGTACTAAAGGTTGATGTTTTAGGTGTATTGTCTGATGTTAAGAGTCACATGCTGGTCATAGTTGTACTAAAGGTTGATGCTTTAGGTGTATTGTCTGATGTTAAGAGTCACATGCCGGTCACAGTTGTACTAAAGGTTGATGCTTTAGGTGTATTGTCTGATGTTACGAGTCACATGCTGGTCATAGTTGTACTAAATGTTGATGCTTTAGGTGTATTGTCTGATGTTACAAGTCACATGCTGGTCATAGTTGTACTAAAGGTTGATGTTTTAGGTGTATTGTCTGATGTTAAGAGTCACATGCTGGTCATAGTTGTACTAAAGGTTGTTGCTCTAGGTGTATCAGCAAGTGTTACAGTTTAATTATTTGGTGATAACTGTGTATTGAGATGAAGCTTTATGTGTATTGCTCATTCTTACCTTATGATGGTCTTTAATCGGACACCAAACACTCCTCCCTGTATCTTGGAAGGCATCCTCTTCAATGTTTTACTAGTCGGAGTGTGTCTCACAGAAATCGTCAGGGTGAGCTGGGAAATAAAACAATCAATTCATTTGAATTTAAACAAAAAAGATACAAAATTTAATCTGACAAGATTTAATTGATAAACATGTAATCCATTCAAATTGTTGAAGACACAGCCTCTAATTAAATTACTAGTACATGTATGTATGTATGTGGTATGAACACAACTGTTTTACTTTCAAATTGTTGAAGACACAGCCTCTAATTAAATTACTAGTACATGTATGTATGTGGTATGAACACAACTGCTTTACTTAATTTAACAGAATTAGATAGAATAAATGGTTGTCCTGACAACCTTCTCATTTTGCTTATGAGTCTGTGTTTTTTTCAAACTTGGTGCACACTTACATCATTCATGGAGATTTTCTGTTCTTTAAAAGTACTGCTCAACCAGCTTTTACTCAACTGAAAGTCAACAATAGTTTATAGTTAGTATACAAAGTCAATCATTGATGGATTACGTTTACATGTAATGCCATAATTTTTAAGTGACAATCCAGATAAATGTTGTATTATAAATGATGTATCTTGCACTTAAAAAGCTTTTAATTTTTAAAATGGTCTCAAACATCATAAGAGCTTTGTTTAGCTGTAAACATTTCAGGAGAAACACAATGTTCTCACATATATATATTTCCCTATAGCAGTGCTTTCCTAGTATGGGCACCATATTTAAGGTTTTAAATTTTACTAACTAATTTCACACACTAATACAAGTTTTATGAATTTTGATTCTGCTTTAAGGATCATTTTAACAAATAAGCCACTAGCACCTCAGTCTTGTTGTTGAAAGCCTGGCTTTATTAACGAGTTAACTTAGAAATATTTTCAAAAATATGAATGTTGGGAAATATCAAGAAATTTCAAATATTTTTTGTGTTGTTTTGTCTTCAAATGATCATCCGGAAGCCCTCTACACGTGGTCATGATTTATATATTAATTTCAATATTCGTTTGTAAATCTGCACATATCTACACGACGGATATTTTATGTTTGTACATTGAAACTTTACAATTAGTGGATCAGGCCATGGACAAAACCTGCAATGGGCTCTTTGTATGAAATATTTAATATATAAATGTACAAAAATATTTTACAGCAGATTTTGGTCTCTTGGAATCAATCTCTAAGCATAGAAAACATCGATTCAGCATTCAGTTAATTTATACGTGTAACAAAAAGGATTACAATAAATATGTACAAATAGTAAATCTGTCATCATTACTAATCAATGCTTACCTCCAAGGCACTGCGCCCAATCAGCTCATCCATGGCTCCATCCTTCTTGTAACAAAGGATTCGTAGTGTCTGTGAACCGTCCAGCTCAATCTCAAAGTCCTCGTCCCACGACCGATCACCAACATGGATCACTGAACTTGTTGTTGAACGTGCCTTCATGAAGAAGTGTCCGTAGGAGTCCAGCTCCAGTTGACAAAATATCTCTGTTATTAACAAGTGTCTTGTATTACTGACATTTAATACATGGAAACATGTCTTATCCGACACCGTCTGGCTCTACTGATCAGATTAGATAGAATGTTAAAATACACAGAATCTGATGTTATTTGCTCATTTAACTTTTGCCTTTTCACCCTCTGCAACGAGGGCAAATTTATCCTGACAGGGAATATTAGAACACAGCATACCGTATACAGTAATTATATGTAGAGGGCGAGATATACATCAGGCAAACATGGATTTTAACAGTGAACAGTGAATACTTGACTGTACAAACGTTTTCCATTTATAGTATTTTGAGAAAAACTGATCTTTCAAAATTGTTAACAAGTAAATGCAACTTTCACTCATATTCCTAAATCCCTGGTAAATTATAAACCGGCCTCAAACTGTCACAAGTCTTTGTGAGTTTGTCACAAATGTTGGTAAATAAATGGTATTCATGTTATGTTGACAGTTTTACCAGTGAATGTGACCTACCACATGGTTTATCCACACCGGCCAGAGTGTGAATCGTTACATTCAGGTTACCATTTAGCATCTCTTCATCTGAAACAGGAAGTGTTATTATACAGAGCTGAAAGGTATTCCATAGTTTAGAAAGAATGAAGATCTAGAATCTAATTTTAAAATCTGATACATGTATATAAGTGTATATATATTTATTTTTATCTTAATTCATCAATTCATCTGAAAACTAGTAGATGTCTGTAAGACATGACCACCCCCTAGCCTGCTCCCGTGGAAATAAATGTTGTTCTGAACAATGACCTTGAACAAGAAACCCTGAAATACAAAGTCATTTGAGGTCTTTTTATACCTGACCTTTTGTATAAAGTTTTATCAAAATCTGTTAAGAAATGCAGCCACTGTATTTATGGGACTGAACTGGTCAACAAATAAACAGTAACCATGACCTTAACCTTGACCTTAGCCTTGACCTTGGAACTCTGAAATAAAAACTCATTTGGGGCATTCTTGTTCTCGATTGTTGTATGTGTTTGATCAAAATCTGCTAAAAAATGAAGTTGCTAGTGCAATGTCACTGAAACGTGATGGGAAGTGAATGGACAGGACTGACATTTTCTATGGTATATCTATACTCATCCTTAATCTTAAACCATTCACTAATATTTTTACACTTACCTTTCCTCATTAAAACGTTTCCAATCTTGTTCACCTGTGGTAACTGAAACAGAAAATATGACATTTGATTACTACCAGCTTACAATATAGTGAATCAAATACTGAAACATTTGCTCCATCAGAATGAAGGATCAGGAAGTTAAAAGTCAAAACTTGAATACACCCAATCACTTACAGTTTCAGGGGAATGATTTCACCTACTAGCATATTTATTTAAGAACCAGTATCAGCAAGACATTTTCATCAAACATTCCAGAATGATTTCAGTTTATCTCTTGTTTGGTAATAAAGAGATATAATATGGGGTACTTTGATCAGGGGAGGCAATCTTCTATGGAAATAATTGTTCAATATTCTTACTACAATGAAAGACTTTTAATGTCTATGCAAAAAATATCCCAGACTATTCAAATACAGTTGGTTATAAAATCTACTTGTACATGAGGTTCTCACCTGTTTACTGTCATTGATCATTGACTGGATGTCATGGATACTAAGCTGTCTCTGGATGGCATCTACAAATACAAATATACAGTCAACACACGCATTCACAAATTCATGTGGGGAAATTAGGTATATCTGTGCCCTGCATCATCTACCCCATATATATGGGAATTGTTTTAACATATAAACCTCAATTACTGATTTTTTCAATAACTATGAAACAAGTTACTCAAATGATATAAATCATTCTTGATGGCCAAAATAGATGTGTGCAAGGAGTCTAATGTGGGAGGAATATGGAGTACCTGGAGAAAACCATTGTGGTCAGGCAGGTTACGCTACACATCTTGGTGAAAGGCTAGAGCACTATCCATTGTGCTACTCACCATCTTGAGAATTTGTTTACGGCGAGTGGAAAATTTATTGGAGACTGTTCTATTAGGTGGGATAGACGGAGAGTAATTAAGTAGCTACTAGATGTACATCCTAGAGGGTATTACACTATTGAGGATAAGGGACCCTGACTTACTATGTGGCGGACTTGGCTGACCCTGTGGGGAATGGTGCTTCAACTGGTTATCAATAGCATCCCTCCACTCCTCACGCTCAAAATCATTGGACAGCAGAATTATGTACTTGTTATCTCCCTTAGATGAAAATGTGATGGGCATGTGTGGTGATGCCAGGACTAGTGATGCCTCCTGGTGGTTAAATAAAATACAAAACAAAGGTCAGTAATTCACGATAATGGCAGAAATACCACCTCGATTAATAGTGTAACTCCCATTTCAAAATAAGAATGAGTTTACAGCAAATTAAAAAATTACAAAAAATATACAACGATATCTGTAGATTTAAATATTTATTTCTGATGTTTCTTACCTGCTCTTCAATTTTCTTACGTAGTTTATCTATGGACCTCTGCTGGACTTTGCCTGCTATGGACCATCTCTGTTAAATATTGATAAAGAAGCATTCAGTATTTATCAATTACTGACTTTTTTAGGTGAATATGCAATTATACAGACCTGGAATGGTATATTAACTGAAACAAAGTATAAAGATTATGCATCTTTTCAGGTCAATATAACCACACATTTATCAAAATTAAAAAGTCCTTATTTGTATTATGAAAGTATGCAGGTTTTTTTATTACTAAACGAGGTTGACCACAAAAATAATCATCATGAAAATAGAGTGTATCTGAGCATTCATATAACAATTTAAGTGACGTTATTAGAAGAAAGTTACTCTAAATTTCTATATATATATATATATATATATATATATACTGTACTAAAATACTGACTCCCACTTGACCATGTTTGGCCAATCAGAGGTCCGGTATCATTGACCTAATCTAGTATATACCTGTTTCTGATACACCAGAATAATTTAAAACTGTACCACTCTTTTGAATTAATTTTAAACAGAAATCCTATATATTTTCTCAGTGTATGTTACATGTAAGTGTCTAATTTCAATCACAGCACCTTTAACTATGGTCCCACTGACAGATACACACACACATATTGTGAGTACTATAAATTGTTTGTTTGTGAAAGAGATATTACTGGATGAATTTGAAACAACAGTTGATCATAAATTCAAAGTTACACAGACACCATTAAACTGTATAAGTACAGCTGTTATTGCTCCATTCACAAACTCATATAGTACACTAGATACAGCATTTGAAAAATTGGTACTATATCCATGCTTACATCTTTGTTAGGTTCGGCATTCCTCATCTCTGACCTTAGCTCCGCCTTCAGACTGACAATCTTCTTCTTCATAGCATCAATGTCTTCCTTACAGTCGTAAACTTTATCACCTTAGGAAGGAATTGTTAAGAGCGACAGGTAAAGTAACAATCCTCAATGACCTAGATATAGACACAGGATCTGTTGCCATGGTAAGTTGTTCATATAATGTTTGTTCTGAACAGGAATCAACACACATACATTCATAGAATCAAATTTCACAAATACTTCCTTTTAGCAACTATGCTAGATTGTCAACTTCTTTACTCTGATAATGATAGGTAGCCATTGTTTACTGTCACTGAATCTTTCGAGAAGGACTAAAACTTCTTCAGTTACCAAAAAAAATAACGATCTCACAAGAGGTATGCTGTAAACATATTTATTGTAACAGTCAACTTATTATAATGCCTTCCAAGCCGACTCAGCAGTACAGATTTAATAGTTTTGTACACTGTACATAAATGGATTCAAGAAGGTCATCTCACAAAAGTTTAAGAATTATTAGAAAAATTTAAGCTATCAACAACTTGTTTTTAAAATCGTAAATCTTACCCTTCGGTGCCATTGACATCTGGAACATGGGCACGAACCACTTGCACTCAAATGAACGCACCTTATGTCTGGAAAATATACCATTGAATTTTAACTTTGATTTTTCCTTTATGTATAGATCTTTTTGATTTTAATTCTTGTATAATGTCTATGATGTTTTAGTGAAATTCAAGCCACAGCAGAATCTAGTCAAACAGACGTTACAAAGATACACTCCACATACTGAACCATGACGTGTACTAGGCCAAACAAGTGGTATACGGTGATATGACACAGGGTATCAATTTAAATACATAGTACACAACAATTCTTCTAATCGATCATTTATTTCTTATATGATCAATGCGTTCCAAAGGAGCATGAACCTCCTTACATGATGAATTTATTCCAGACATGATCACCTGACAAATGTTTTGGCTCAATACCAACGCAACATGTCTGGATTGATTTATCATAAACAAAACATTCTGCTTTGTTGTCAATGCTCCTTTTGAATACATTTATGCACGACTAGTGTAGATTCTGTATATATTTAAGTATTCATGTTAGAATTCATTGGAATTGCACAAGAATCTGTCTACTTCAAGGGATGGTGTGCTTCCCCTTCCCCTCAAGAGTGATTCGTAAAATTATATTAATTGGACAAGTTTAAGGTAAAAGTGTTGGTTTAATCTCCTTTGTTCTTTCCATTTAAAAGCTAATTTCACAAAGCTGTCATTCGAAAACACACGCAGGTACATTCCACTTACCTTCCACTGATCTTGTGCTTGGTACAGACGAGGACATCACTAAATAGGAACAGGAAGCGCAGCTTACGGGACCTACCCTCGATCTCCACCACAAACCCACTCTTCACTAGATGGCGCTTGTCTTCAGACTGCAATGCAATTAATCAGTCTATCAGTTAAATGTAAAACAACACAGGGGAAGGCCAAGAGAATAGTTTATGATTTATTTTGGGCCCATAATAATTATAAGTAGCTTCATTAATTCATTCACCCCTACATATTCATAAATATGTATTTCTCATTGGGTTTCTAACAATATATCATTCGCAATCTTTCCGCAAACCGTAGGCCCAAAAACATCACTCTCAGTCCTTACCTCATAACATAACTTAACATTCAAAGACTAAATCGAATTTGTTGTCTTATATACTGAAAATGACCTTTTGATTTTGAACAACAAACACTACTTTCTTATTGACAGTGCTTCTTTGTACTATTTTCTATTTATTACAGTTTCACAAGCGAGATATCTGATTCTATCAACAAGATAAAACTGATAACTTTCACCCTGAGACCCAGATCTAAATTTGAATAAGTGGTTGTTTTGGTAAGTCTTTGATATATTCATGAAGATATTTACTAAACTACATAATTTATAACATTTTATAAACAAATCTTGTGACATTTATTTATTCAATAGTACATGAAAAATTATTATGATGCATTAACAATTTGTCATTGTAAGTATACTTCTAAAATGTTAACGAATTTTGTTACCGTACATATTTCACTTGTATGGCAGAACATACCTATACTTTTCACTAATACTATGTAATTATACCTGTATTCTGCCAAACTGATGATATATAGATGGTATTAGATGATATATAGATGATATCAGATGATATATAGCTGGTATTAGATGATATATAGCTGGTATTAGATGATATATAG